CTAGAAACTGTTATACTAAGTGAAGTAACACAGACTCAGAAAAACAAATGACATATGTTCTCCCTCATATGTGGCTCCAAGCACCAAATCCTTTTAAATTCCAGGTCCTTTTAATAAGATGATGCTATACAGCAGTCCCTTCTGCATGAAATAACTACCATCATGACTTCCGCTGAGCCTGATCGCTAAACATCATCACAATTGGGCTTGTTGATGGTTGTGCTCATTCATTAAAGGAGTGCCAGTCAGGGTCACTGGACCCTCACCTGAGTATCCAGCCAACTAGTCCAGCCTTGGAAGACAAAAGAAAAATAAGGAGGAACCCAATAGAGGGATGCTTTTGGAAGCCCTTGTCAAGAAACGCCAATGGACTCTCATATGAGCATTTGAAAATTGCCCTGTTCTGACTTTTTTCTAGTTCCCTGTCTAGAACTTGTAATGCTAATTACTCTTGCCTTTACTTCTCCTTCACATCTCCTATTCACAGTTCACAATTTCTTTTCCCCTAGAAATTAGAGTTATGCAATTTGGGAGTCTTTTAGATAGACCCATTGAAGGGTACTCCAATTGCCTCACCCCGTGTCCCTGTTCAGCATGGAAGAAGCCAGAGTGGTCTACGTCTCGATTCCCTATTGGCAATTTGGGTAACCCCTTCAGAGGATGGTGTGATAAGAATAGGAGGTAGGAATTGGCTAGGTAGTTAGGGTAAAAAGACCCCAAAGAAAAGTAGCCAGTTTCTTGGTTAAAAGTCAAAATGTCAGCTGGGCGTGGTGGCGCATGCCTTTAATCCCAGAACTGGGGAGGCAGAGGCAGGTGGATTTGTGAGTTCAAGGCCAACCTGGTCTACATAGTGAGTTCCAGGACAGCTGGAGGAGCTACAGGGAGACCCTGTCTCAAAAAGACCAAAAAAACTTGGCTAAAAGTCAAAATGTCCTTGGGCTTGTTAGCAACATACTCTGTTCCAAAGGCCAAAAATGTCAAAAGTGTTTGGAAGCTTGTATCTAATCCTTAAAAGATTTCAGGGTTGCGTCTTCAGAGCGGGGAATGTTGGAGGGGAGGGAGTGGGCATGGATTTGATCAAATCACCTTATATACATGTATAAAAGTCTTAATAAAGTTTTTGTAAAAGTTAAAAAAGTACTAACACTGTGTATTTGCCTTTACGCCTTGCTTTGTAAAAATCAATATTGTATTTTAAGATTCGTCCTGCACTTGTCTGTTCTGTACTTTACTGTGTATCGTTCCGTTTTATGACTGTGCCACCATTTAGCTGTGTCCTCCTGGCCACTTCGGTTGTCTCTGAAGATGTCACAAAGAGTGGTTGGATGTGTGCGCCTCTGCAGCAAGCCAGTGTGGTTCCTTTAAAAGCATTAATATTGTATGTATAGGAGTGTTTTACCTGCACTTATGTAAGTGCACTGCATTTCTTTACTGTGTATCGTTCTGTTTTATGACTGTGCCACCATTTAGCTGTGTCCTCCTGGCCACTTCGGTTGTCTCTGAAGATGTCACAAAAAGTGGTTGGATGTGTGCGCCTCTGCAGCAAGCCAGTGTGGTTCCTTTAAAAGCTATTAATATTTATGTGTAGGAGTGTTTTACCTGCACTTATGTAAGTGCACTACATGTATGCAGTGCCCAGAGTCAAGAAGAGGACATTGGATCCTCTGGAACTAGAGTTACGGATGGTTGTTACCAGCATGTGAGTGCTGGGAACGGAACTCAGGTCCTCTGGAAGGAGCAGCCAGTGCTCTTAACTGCTGAGCCATCTCTCCAGCCCCAACCAAGTGGTTCTTTCAAGGACTGTGATGCTGAGGAGCTCAGGGTGGCAGGAGTTGTAATCATATTTCGATACTCAAACCATCATTTTCTAAGTGGCGTTTCTATTATTACATATGTGTAATAGCATCACTTTAATGGATACACTGTACTCTATGGCTGAATCATGGTTTATTGACCAGTCTTACTGTTTTCTAATGTATTTTCTGTAATTTAACTGATACTACCAATCTGATTAGCAGTTTACATGCTTGATTTTATTTGGTAAAGGCATAATGAACTTTGTGATTTATTTTCCCACAACTTTCACTTATTTGCCTGTGATCACTCTACCTTTCTGGGTGTATGGTATACAGATGAAGCATCCCTCATCCCAGACTCTCAAGTCAGCAGTAGAAACTTTCTGAACACCAGCATCACCCCACCACTGGAAAATTCCATGCCTGATCCTGCTAGGACCGGTTCCTGTAAAAAGGCTAGCACACTAAAAACACTGTTTATAAGGGTTGTAGGATGAAAATGCAAATGAACTTTGTTAGAGCCCACACCCAAGATATGTTATGCATATGAAAAGAGTCAACTTGGGAAAACAATCAGAAATCGTAAATGCTCTGGTCTCTCACTCAGCACAGAGGCAGAGAATACCAGACAGATGGCACATGGCAGTTGGAACAGGAAACCCAGCCATGAACACTCGAGAGCACATGTCTATATCATCAGCACAAAGTGCAAAGGGCATTGCATAGTTGAAGGGTGTGGCAGCCATATTTTATAGCTTGGTTTTGGTTTATATGAATCCACTCCATTTCCCTGTTTGTAAAAAGTGAGGGAAACCTTTACAACATAAAATTTAAAACTGCCCCATGTCCTCATGGGTTCTGGTCTCTCACAGATGTATTTTTATTTGGATCGTTACTGTTTTGCCATAAAGATATTGAAGAATTTGTTCAGCAATAATTTTGAGGGAATTATTTCTTTAGAAAGTATGGTGGATGTTTGCCCTACAGGAAAATTCTTGAGTTTGGTTTCATCTTCCTGTGAAGTGTTCAGTTTTTAAGCTGTCCAATTCTGTCTTAAAATGAAATTAAAATGCCCTGTTCTCTAAAGCATTTAACATCTCCTTCCTGCCTTTTTGAAAGTATTGCAGGCATCTTTCTTTTCTTTCTTTCTTTCTTTCTTTCTTTCTTTCTTTCTTTCTTTCTTTCTCTCTTTCTTTCTTTCTCTCTTTCCTCTCTGTCTCTCTCTGTCTCTCTGTCTCTCTGTCTCTCTCTCTGTCTCTCTGTCTCTGTCTGTCTCTGTCTCTCTGTCTCTCTCTCTCTGTCTCTCTCTCTCTCTGTCTCTCTCTCTCTCCCCCTCTGTTTTTTTTAAGATCAGGTCTCCCTGTATCCCTGAAACTCACTACATAGACCAGGCTGGCTTCAGTCTCAGAGAGTCCTGCCTCTTCTTCCCAAGTTCTGGGTTTGAAGGTGTGTGCCACCACGTCCAGCTAGTGGGCATTTCTGGTGCAGGCCCCTTGCCCCTCAATTTCCCACACTGCCTTGTGGTCCAGTGAAACCTTTCTGTGTGCTTTAACACAGGAGCCGAGATTTCTAAGAGACCACCTGTGCCCACAGCACTTGATCTATCAAGATCCAAGTGGGGAAAACGTAAGGAGCTGTGCTGCGACTGCTACCTGGGGTCCGTTCAGGTGAGACATGGTCTCTCAGGCCACCCTCCATCTCTTCCACCGCACACCTTACATTACTGCTTCTAGAGATAGTGGAAGGATCCCAAGGGACCCTTGACTGGACAGCCAACCTGAAGGCTGGAGCTATGGGAAGGGGCCGGTCGGGGCGGGGAGTGACTTGTGAGCCCATGGATTATCCGTGCCCCATTTTGGCTGAAACACAGGCAAAAGGAATTGTTGAATGTAGAGAAAGTTCTGGATGTTTGCTTAGCCGGTGAGTGCTGTGTAATACTGGTGAGTCGTTCTCTTCTCTAGGAACAGAGAATGGAGCCACTTATTACAGAAATCGACGAAGACTCCTTCAAAGGGCGGGAGACCTGAGCACAGTCTTCTCTCTCTCCAAGCCCTCAGTTTGCCTTTGTGATCTCTGAGTGAACCGTAGCAGATGAAATGGTTTACTATCCAAATCTTGCCACGTTGTCCTGGGACTGATAGTCCCTTCCAGAATGTACAAAGTATCCTGGAGGCTTGGAAGGGCTCCCTTGCCTTCTCATTCTCTGCCAAAGAGATTAAGAATGACATTCAGTCCCCCAGTGGACATCCAATAAAAACATTCCCACAATGTGAAAAACAGACCAAAAATTAATATCTCAGGATTCCAGTGATTTAAAAGAACAAAAAACAAAAAACCCGTTTCCACAACCCAGAGATGCAGAGGGAATTACATGTTTGATAATGACCCTCTCAGTGACCCAAACATGCAATGGCCTTCTCAGTGACCGGAACATAGAAGAGAAAGCCCTGAGGAAAAAGACCCTGTGTCACTGGGTTTGAAAACTTGTTCCTGTATGCCTTTCCCATGCCTTCCCTGCCTTCCTGGGAAGAGCGGGTGTGCAGGTTAGACAAGCTCAGGAAAAGAACAACATGGATGTCTCTCAAGCCATTTCTTATAGAGGCAAAGGCAAGTTTGACATATAGAAAATCCAGTTCCTGGGGCTGGAGATATGGCTCAGTGGTTAAGAGCACTTCCTGCTGGTCCAGAGGACCAGAGTTCAGTTCCCATCACCCGGGTCGGGCAGATCACAACCACCTGTAACTGCAGCTCCAGGAGGTCTGACACCCTCTTCTGGCCTCTGTGGACACCCTACACATGCACACACACACACACACACAATTTTTTTTTAAACTTAATAAAGGGGACTGGAGAGATGACTCAGCGGTTAAGAGCACTGACTGCTCTTGCAGAGGATCTGGGTTCAAGTCCCAGAACCCACATGGTGGCTAACAATCATTCGTAACTCCAGTCCCAGGAGATAGGACACCTTCTTCTGACCTCCATGGGCATTGCACAACATGGGTGTACTTAGATACATGCAAGCAATACACTAATACACATGGAATAAAAATGATAAAGGGGCTGGAGAGATGGCTTAGTGGTTAAGAGCACTGACTGCTCTTGCAGAGGATCTGGGTTCGATTCCCAGCACCCATATGGCGGCTACGAACCGTCCTTAACTCCAGTTCCAGGGGAATCCGAAGCCCTCGTCTGACTTCCACTGCATTGCACAACAGGGTGAACTCACTGACATGCAGGCAATACACTCATACACATAAAATAAAAATAATGAAAAATAAAAATGATAAATATTTTGTAAAAGAGGAAAACCAGTGACTGTACCATAGAATATGGCCAAAGTGAATGGGAGGAAAAACGTGTTAGTTCATTGGTTGTTTGCTGATAGCTAAGCCTTCCTGGAAGACGTCGTCATAAAAATAAAAAAATGAGGACTGTGCGTGTGCTTACCTGAGGGTACTTACTTACTTTTTCTTTCCCTCTAGGGAGCAGGAGTGTCTAAATATGAGTGCTAAAAACTGGGTATTAATTCCTACCACTACATCCCAAAGTCTGGAAGACGAGGTTCTGGGAAGACTTCTGAAAATTCTCTTTGTTTTATTTGTTGACTTAATGTCGATCATGTATGTTGTCATCACTTCCTAGGCTCTTGGCTGACTTCCTTTACTCCACATGTACATTTCAAACTGAATCCCAGTCAATAAAGATTTTCATTTTAATGTGATAACTGCTATTAACATGATATCACCAGTTTATTCTAGAAGTCAAGATATTAGAATAATAATATGATGTGTGTTTTTAGTTATTTATGGTTTGCAAATAATGTTCACATAAATTGAAGTTGAATTTCCTTTTCTGGAACATTCACACTCTTGACTCAAAAGACATTGATGTTTTTAACACCATTGTTATTTAGAATAGTCACTAAAACTTGTAGGTGGAATTGATCTTTTAAGGATTTATACCTATGTGAAATTTTCTATGGTGTGTGTGTACGTGTGTTGTGTGCATGTGTATGTACATGTGTGTGTGGAGTAAGCACACTCATGCATGTATGTGTGGAGGCCAGAGGGCTACCTCTGGTGTCTCCTGTAGGTCTCCATCTTTGGAGACAGGGTCTCTCACTAGCTCACTGCTCTGACTGGACTGGCCGCTCACAAGCTGCCCAGGATCCTCTTGTTTCTATCTCCCCAGTGTTGGGATCAAAGGCGTGCACCACCTCAAAGGCTGGGTACTGGGGACCCAGTGTCAGGTCCTCATGCTTGCATAACAAACACTTACCCACTGAGCCATTTCCCCAGCCCCTCTCATTCTGTTTTTAACACAGCAAGCTTTGTTATCTTTACATGCAATACAACAGCAGTCTAGACCCATTTTAATATATAAGACACATTATATATAAATACATACTCCAATTTGTAGGTAGATAGGGTTTTTAACCCTGGAAGATTAAATAAGAGAAATATTTTCCTCAAAAATTTGTAAAAATTGGGAATAGTAGAAATACGGGGGCGTCTGAGGAAAACAGAACTTACAAGAAAAGAAGGAAAATAGGATAAAACCCGTTAAATGTTCACTGAATGCTATTTGCCTTAGGCTGACAATAATCCAGAGACAGGTGTGTGTGGTCCATGTTCAACCAGTGAAAAAACTCAACCTTTACGGACTCGTGCCAGCTTGAAGCCGTAATGAGGAAGTGCTAAACTAGGTCTTGATGTATAACATCACATCCCCTCTAAAGGTGAGTCAAAGTGCATTGGTAAGAGAAGGCAGCCAAAAGCAAATCTGTGAGGTGCAACACTTCAAAAAAATCTATTTTTATTTTGTGTGTACGAGTGCGTTGCCTGTATGTATCTAGGTGTACCTATGTCATGCAATTCCCATGGAGACCAGAAGAGGGCATCAGATTCCCCTGGAACTGGAGTTACAGATGGTTGTTAGCCACCATGTGGGTGCTGGGAATCAAACCCTGGTCTTCTGCAAGAGCAGCCACTGCTCTTAACCACTGAGCCTCACTCCAGCCCCAAGCAGTACATTTTTTCAACATGTGTGCTCTGCTCTGGCCCTGGCTGCTACATGCTATCATTGGTCACTTTATTTTCTCATTCTGCATTTTAAAATATTCCATCAAGAAGATTAGATGTGCCTTTTGCCCATGTCTGACCTGACAGCACCCCTTTTCTGTTTCCTCAGCACCTTCATTTTCTGGCACTCAATATTAAATGTAAATGTTGAACTGCTTCTTTATTTTTTTAAAAACTTGCCTTTTTTTGTTTTGTTTTGTTTTGTTTTTGAGACAGGGTCTCCCTGTAGCCCCAGCTGTCCTGGAACTCACTATGTACACCAGGCTGGCCTTGAACTCACAGAGATCCACCTGCCTCTGCCTCCCAAGTGCTGGGATTAAAGGTGTGTGCCACCACACCCAGCTAAAAACCTGCTTTTTAAATGCTTTGAAAAAACAAGGTCTCACTGTCTTTTAGACCCTGCACTTTTAGATTAGACACACATGCTTAATGAAGTGGTGATTTCTCCCAAGGGATGACTGTCTTCTTGGATTTGGCCCAGTCTTGAATACAAGGTTTCATAACCGGTCCAATGAAGTGTGAAAAGAACTGGACCTTTGAGACATCTGCCCCAGCTGACTCCTACCTAACCTTTCTGAGATGTTGGATATTTAACCATGAAATAGTCAAATTGAGCCTGAATGAAAGCTAGAACAGAAAGTTTTACTTTTTCTTAACAGACTTCTGTGTGTAAGGGATTATTCTGCATACAAGGTCACCTTCTGCATAGGACTGTACATACAAGGTCACCTTCATAGGACTCTGCATACAAAGTCACCTTCTGCATAGGACTCTGTGCATACAAGGACTCCTTCTGCATACAAGGGCCCACTCCTCTGGATGTGATTTGTTTCTCCTCAACCCCCTCTAACTGGGGTCCTCAGAATCTGTGTCAGGTCCCTAACATTTGAGTAAAGCCACCATCCTGTTGAAGCAATTGTCTCTTGTTCCCAGATCGTCCACACCACAGGAAGTTTCATTAGGAACATGAAACTAGATTGCATAGATAGGAGTTTTTCCTTTCTAAGGACTAAGTGCCTGTGCCCCAGGTTTACAGATCATGAAATGAGTTGGCAGTTGCTAAGTGCTTAACACGGTGCCTGCCTCAGGGCAAGCTCATTTGTTTATAGGTTGTTACCCAGGGGGGAGGGAGCTGTGTCTCCTAGCAAGCCTCAGTCCCCCACCTATCTACCCTAAGCTTTCCATCTGGACAACCTCTCAAGAATAGGGTTGCTTCCCCCACCTGAGTTTCAGCTGGAGCCATAGGAGTAACTGCCGGACGGACGCTGGAGGGATTTGTTCACTGCTTCTGCACCTAGCGATTTCACGTAGGTGTCACCATGTGTTTGAAGACCAGAAACAATGCCTAGAAAATATCAGTCGGCAAGTAGATAGACCGGCAGCAAGCAGTGAGCAGACCATTTTCTTCACTCTTCACACATACTCTGTGCCTTCCTGCCAGACATGGTTTGGGGCAGCAGGTCGGAGTAAAGAACAAGACACATCTCTCTCTCACACACACTTGCAGTTCGTACTTTAGTGAGGCAGATGAATGGATGCCCACTAGGGCAGCTACAACTGGAGACTCAGGAGGGATATGCCCAAGGTATAAGGAAGATGGGGATCATCCAAAAACCAGAAGCAGCAACTTCTTTTAGATACCCATAATCCTAGAGCCTCTGGAACCTCCCAGATCCTGAACCCACACTGTAAGTAGATCCACATGCATGCTGAGAAGCATGTGGACTGAGTGTTGCTCTGGCTACTGGACAGCTATGCAACCTTTGGACAGTTTAATCACTCTGGGTCTCATACTTTACACATGTTAAGATGAAAAAAGAGAGAAGAGAAAGGACAGAGGGAAGGAGGGAGGAAAGGGGGCACCAATAATCCCCACTTTGTATATCATGTAGAAATACAACGGGCATTAGATGAATGAGGATGAAGCTTGCATGGAAATGCTTAACAGGCTGCGGTTATATGACAAGATGGGCAGCTCTGAGCTTAGCAACCTCCAGCTTCCTTCGGTGGGACCTGGAAAGGATACCCCTCATGAATTATTGCCAGGATTCGCAGCATACACGTCTATGTGCAATCAGGACTGGTAAACATGTTTTTCCTTGTATGGATTTCTGTGGCATTTCATAGAACTACTGTCCATCCAAGTGGCTATAATTGAGCCTGTGACCCAAGTAGATGGTGTTTGTTGACTTGCCACTGGTGAATATGAATTACCTGGCCATGACTAAGCACAGCTCCACACTGTTTGTTTCATATTCTCTTGGTATCGATTCAAGTGGCCTTGAATACTTCCCAGTTCTGTGGTCCCTGGAAGACATTATCTTGAACTTGAGAAGAAAGTTCCGAAATATGCCTGCCAGAAACTTTATTAATGATAAATACACTTGTCTAGAAACTGGCACACGCTGTGCTGTATGTCCTGTGTCCTTTATGAAACCTAAGCTGTACTCACCGTCAATGAAGAATTTCCATTTCCTAAGTGAGGAAATTCAGGTCCAAAGGAATTAAGCAAAAAGCCCAAATTCACACAGAACATCCTACCTATGCTGATGCAACGAAAGATGAGATATCAAGACCCTGGCTCCAGACCACCTGCCCTAGAGCCTCACCTAAATATTAACCAAGATCCTAGCTCCATACCCCTACCCCTAAATCCTAATCCTAACTATTAACCAAGACCCCAGCTCCAGACCCTCTACCCCTAAATCCTACTCCTAACCATTAACCAAGACCCCAGCTCCAGACCCTCTACCCCTAAATCCTAATCCTAACTATTAACCAAGACCCCAGCTCCAGACCCTCTACCCCAAAATCCTAATCCTAACTATTAACGAAGACCCCAGCTCCAGACCCTCTACCCCTAAATCCTAATCCTAACTATTAACCAAGACCCCAGCTCCAGACCCTCTACCCCTAAATCCTAATCCTAACTATTAACCAAGACCCCAGCTCCAGACCCTCTACCCCTAAATCCTAATCCTAACCATTAACCAAGACCCCAGCTCCAGACCCTTACTCCTAAATCCTACTCCTAACCATTAACCAAGACCCTAGGTCCGTATCACTTGCCCTAGCGTCTCATCCCTAACCATTAACCAAGACCCCAGCTCTGTATCGCTTACCCTAGAGCCCCATCCCTAACCATTAACCAAGACTTTAGCTCCAGGCCCCCACCCCTAAATCCTACTCCTAACCATTAACCTAGACCCCAGCTCCAGAGCACCTTCCCTAGAGTCCTATTCCTCACCCTTCACCAAGATCCCAGCTCTAAACCACCTGTCCTGAGGGCCTGTTCTTTTATTTTTTTTTAATTTATTTTTATTTTATGTGTGTGTGTGTGTGTGTGTGTGTGTGTGTGTGTATTGGCTGCAGGTAGGTAAGTGCACCCATGTCGTGCAATGCTCATGGAGGACAGAAGGGGCTGCCAGATCCCTTGGAACTGGAACTATGGTCAGTTAGCTGCTGTGTGGGTGCTGGGATTTGAACCCGGGTCTTCTGCAAGAACAGTCAGTGTTCTTAACCGCTGAGCCATCTCTCCAGCCCGAGGGCCCTGTTCTTAACCATTCAGTTACTCTGCCTCACTTCAAGCCAGAGAAGGTCATTAACTCAG